TCAATTGTTGGAAATGGAAAGAAAGTATTTGCACTTACAATAGTAGTTTTCTTTAGATTCTTAACTAGGGCGCCTATGGGCTGCTGTCGATGTTGGACCACCACCCAGGACTTCTGCAAACCGATTTTTCTTTCTTCTTTCTTTGAACCGGACCGAATTTTAAATTCCCAATTACTCGTTGAAATGAAAATTGATATGCGATACACCGAAATTTTGGGAATCCTACCGACTGCGCCGCGAAGGTTCTTTATTCAGACACAATTCGAACAAGACGAGATTTTTAATATGAACGATGATTATACAGGATGATTCAAAATTGGCGTCACTCCCTTTAAGAAAAAACATATAGACATTTTTTTTTTTAATTTCTAGAAGATTTGAAGATGAACATGAAGAACAGTTGAAGATCGAATTTCAACTTTGTTATTAAGCATTATTTTGAAAAGGCCCCACGTTTGATTGGTTCGATAAATGGCCTTTATTCGAAGTTTCTCAAGAATCATTCGAGCCACATAATTCGTTTTGGCATCGTTGGATAGAGAATAGAAGAGTCGATTCAGTCGTAACAACGTGAGTGAGCAAAGAAGAATAGTTTTGACCCAGAAAGCCAAATTTGAGAATATCACACACTTAGGTGCAAGATTATGTCAAAATTTCATGTTTTCCGTTCCATTTTTGCTCATTTCTCGGAGGAAAAATGAGCAAGAACGCTCATTTGTACATCATTGACAGAAACAAATGGCCTTTTTAGAAAGTGAACCATGGATGGGGAAATGCTGGCAGTTTTCTCAAAAAAGGCTTGAATTCAAGAAGTTTCAGATTTGCGTGGTTTTTTTTTGAGGTTGCAAAATCTACTTGAATATGACGCTGCTTTTTTAGAAGTTTCTCAAGAACCATTCGAGCCACATAATTCGTTTTAGCATCGTTGGATAGAGAATTGAATGGGGGACACTGGATCCGCCCTTGTTCTTGACACTATTTCGTTTGAATTTTGAAGCATTTGAAAATAAAAATTACGATCTTTTTACCAAATTACGAAAATTTTTTATATTAAAAAAGTACTCTTCTACAATTTTTTTATGCAAAGTCGAAGCGGCAATGATGTTTTTCGTCATTAACAGATAGGTAGATATAGGTAACAGTTACAGGTAGACAGCCTTTGTCAATAATGAGAAGCATTTATCAAACTGTGGTTTATTTTGAAGCTCATTTCACAAAATGTAAACCAACAGCGAATTTGCGAATATGCGATTAGTTATGGAAAAATGCCACAGTACATAGCAGAAGCTGTAAGAACTTACACCAGCAAAGAGATACGCACTGGACGAGTGGCCCGAAATGGACGCAGATAGTGAACAATCTAAAAGTGTTCGATTTCCAAACCTAGAGGAACAGGTATTGGAGATTATTACAGCTGAGCCTTCCAGGAGTACTTGAAGCATTGCACAACAACTGCACTTTCTCAAACACCGGATACTTAATTGTCCCGATAACGAGGAAGGGCCTACATTCCTACCATATACCTATGTAATATGCACAGGACACTAGAACGCATTAAATCTCTGATCTTCCGAACACCGGTTCAAATTGAGCAGCAGTTAATTAACCGAACACGAGAAGCTGCTCAAAATATGAGCACAGACTCAAAGTGATTGGGACACAGATATGTTTGGAGTGAAACATGCAGGACTTCTGGCTCTTGGGAATACTTGTATTTTAACAACAGAATTATATTTTATTTGATCAATGATATTAATCAATGATATATAACCTTTAACTGTTGATTTTGGATGACAGTTGTGACTTATTTAGGTATATCACTCATTTGCCTAAAAAATATGGCAGAACTCGGGGGGCTGTTTTATCGCAGCACTGACCGCAAGGTGACAACGTTATCCTAACCTCAACGCATGTTAGTGTCTCTTTAATTTTCTTTGCTTCATGTTTATCCATGGTTACTGGAGAAATGTGAATTAGACAGATTACCTTGAAAAACATTGTTGCCATCCTTCTGATCTAGTTTTTTGCAAATATCTGAGTTTTGAATAACATTTAATTTTTTTACTATTTTTTCTGTACTCCCAAGACACCCCCAGACAAAACCTCCAGAGGAATGACGCGAATTTGAATCACCCTGTATTGATAAAAACAGCTGGGCTTGCTGCTGACCAGGTGCTGAGTTGCAACCTACCACGTATGCATCACGTATGCCTGTGCACTGTGCAGGCTGGTGTCGTGCCTTAACTTGGGAACCGCTGACGCAGCAGTCATCTTCCGCTGCAAGTTACATTTTTATTGTTAATATTTCATAAACTCATTTTTGCTCTTAACTTCAACCTGAACACTTGTATTAAGAAAATAAACCTTTTTAAAAAAGTCTTTTCGTCGTTCGTTATACGTAATTCGCGAGAGTTATGTGACCCTGGCTGGCTTTTATAGAGTATTTTATGTTTGGGTCTAGACCTCAGATTAAACAGATGCATTTGTTTACGTTTTTTATCGTACGAATTGGTCATGTGTTGTTTCGAAGCAAATAGGCACTTTTATACAGGGTAATTATATAATAATCAACGTAATTATACAAGTAATTTTATGCTTAGCCGGGCGTGAAGACTAAAAAAAACAAATTTCTTAGATTTCGGACTTGATTACAAAACTACGTTCGTACACGACGGTTAATTGAATAAAGACAATTTGTGTGGCTCTGTACCACTATTAATAATGTTTTCTTATCTCTAATTAGGCTAAGCTCAGCATAGTTGATAGTTGTATGCTGATCTTGTAGTTTCATGTGTGGGAAGCTTTATGTAGGGTACAATAGCTAATTGTTTATAATAATGGATGATTATCTTTTGGAAAATAGTTATATGGTGATAAGACGATGACACTTAAAAAGGAAAAAACTATTGGGTTGCTGATACATTAGAAAAACGATCCGAATTTGGAGAATTCCATCATTTGCATGGAGATTTTGAAAAGAAGCAGAAATATATTAGTTGTCCAACATCTATTTCAGCTCGTCGTGTTACAAAATGTTCTCTATTCGGTCAGAAACACTGCGAACCTGCGAACAAATCCCATTTGTTTCGGATAGGCCGCCCACAGCAATGGTTCGTCGGAAATCGTACAAAGTACAAAGAACTTCAGTTCTAGTGGACGAGCTCCAGTACTTTGCAATGAAATTGGATCATACATAAACATTATATAGTTATAAGGTGCATTCCCCCAAGTGGGTTTTATCAAGTTACGCATTAAATCGTCTTCCTTTAATCTGAACTTCTTTCGCGGAAAATTAGCACGTAAGTTCTGAGCAAACGTTCGGTTAAACCACGGTATAAACATATTTACTACAAATCAACGCCGAGTAGTTGGAAATGAAACTTGTTTAACTCCATACTTATTACATTCTTGAATTACCATTTAAAGACAAGTTCCTCTTTCCGAAGCAGCTGTTTTCACATTCTTTTCTAACACGTGTAGTAGAGGCATGTTATTGAACTCAATGAAATGCTCTACAATTGAAAGTCGACAATATCAAATTGTAATAAGCCAAGTCTTTCTCAAAGGGCAAACCTTTTATTTGAAATTCAGTACGGAAACTCACATATTCATATGATATGTTTTATACTTTAACTCACTCTTTTATTAAGAATAATTAAAGTAAACTCGTCTTGGGGAACGCGAAATTTAAATAAATTACAATATGAATTTTTAACATTCTATTCTTAGTTTCACCCTATATATAAATCATGTTTATTGTCAGATTTGTGATTTAATTTGACTATTATGTTTGACTTGCCAGGCATTTCATTTCCCTCACTTAACAAAGATACGGACGATGTTATTTAAATTTGATATGGACAGTACTGGATTTGCGAACTCTATTTTTACGAAATGAATTATTTCTGATGGTCATAGCATCAGCTGGAATGACTTGAAGTACGTTAACTATTAATTTTTAAAAGTGGATTTTCACAAATATCTTTGAACTTCTATCTACCTGTTTTTTGTTCGTGTGTAGCGTGCTTTACCCCGATATTCCCGCTTAATTGCTTTATGGATTTTCTATATTTCTGAGGTGGAGATTAACGTTGTTTATTTTTTTGGTCTTGTAAATTAAACGTATTTTTCTCTTTTGTAACTAATTATTTAGAATTTTGTTTTGCCTAAAAAGCATCAAGGACCAATAGCAAATGTTTCAAAAATATTTGTAGTGGATGTAAACTTTTTTCTATTTAATTCTCAACTAAGCGAATATGCAGCAATTTTTCTGCAAATTTAAGAATTTTAAGGATTATTTTTAACTTTAAATCTTAAATTTAATTCGGCATATTTTTTGAGCCTGAAAATGCGCACCTTGTCTCTCTTTATTAAAAACACATATTAAAATGCATAGGATTTATGCTCATGTTTTCATAAGCTCACTGGAAGTGTACTGAAAACTTGCAATCCCGGATTACTTTGCAGATATGAATGAATTATTTAATAATTCACCCCTAAAATTATACTCATCATTCTATTAGCTGCTTTAAAACTTCGGAAATATCGGCAAATAAGTAGCACTTATGGTGTAGCACAATAAGTGTTACTTATTTGCCGATATAAATATATATATTTACACCTATGATATAAATATATATATTTACACACACACACACACGTAACTTTTTAAAGCACCACGCTCAATTGGATTTACATATGGATTGACCTATTCATTTGAAGGCTTTTGCCTTATGAAGATGAGCATTTTACTTCAAAGGTACGAAGCAATAATGTTCAAGTTCCCCCTTACCTCCTTTTATATTATTTACTTTTGGTCTAGATTTTTTTAATTTTCTGCAGTTAAAACGCCGATAACATTAGAAACATTGTTGGAGTAATGATTAAAACTCAATGGGACTTAATAATCTTAATTTCCAGATCCTTTGAGCTTTGATCTGGTTTATTTATTGCATTCATATTTAGGTAGTTCCCCTTTCACTTAATTTTTCTGGTATTAGCCTTAAATGGTAACTAGTAACCATCAAGCAACGAGAACTGCAAACCAACCGGTCCGGTTCTGTTTCCTAGTCTGGTAATACTAAATTAATGCACGTTTATAAGCCTTTAAACAATATCGTTCAATATGTGCTATCTCGGATAGTTTGGTGTAAATTTGAATTGATTTCTGAAACATCTTGGAAGTTCTGTGTCTGCTGTTTTCCGTCCTTGTTCAAGTTAACAGTAATTTAGTGACGTCGTTTGCGTCCTCTAACTTGGCTGGAAATCGTTCTTCCGAAAACACCCAACTTATATTAAGACTGGCTTGTGTGTTGTCGACAGTGGACTAGGCCAAGATAATTTATTTGCGACCAGTTTTCCGGTAAGTTTACAACTACTCTAGCTTCTAATTCGCTACACAATGAGAAAGTTAAATATTATTGGAAAATTGAGCGTATTGTTTCTTTTAAATTGGAAGCTATTGGATAAAAAATATTTGTTTAATCTAGATGTAAGCACTTTATTAGGACGCAATTTTCACACCTCGAGGTCTTAAATATTCAATATCGCATACATTTAAACTTTTGTAAAATTATTCCTGGATGCGCAATTAATTATTTTTCTTTCATCTTTACTTCTTCAGCACTTGATAAGATTGAATTTACTTTTTTTTACCCTGAAACTCTTGAAAGGCCTTTTCGACCTATGCGTCAATATTTGAGTGTCAATTAAGCCATTAAATCACTTAAAACTTTTACGAGCACATTACAGTTTGTTGTTGCCATTAATAACACGAAAATTAATAGCACCATTTATAATTAAAAAGTTGTTTGTGACAATTTTAATTTCGATAATAAATATAGGGAGTTGACAGTGTTTTGGTAAGCAAATGTTGAGCAAGCAATGGCATGTACGTTTATTGTTTCATTTTTTAAATTATATTTATATTAGAACATAATTAAATTATTTAATTGGATTTATAAAATATGAACAAATCTGTTGAGTTTTTCGGCAGACATTCATTTGTATTATTATTTCGTTAATTTAAGTTGTCATTAAATAGTTAAAATTTGAAATATTTAGGTTTCCTATTAGCATCGTTATTGGCAGGTCAAGTTGGGATCAACATAGAGCAAAGGTTGAACTGGAAATTAAATCGCCAATCTAAATAAAGTAGGAAATGTAAAATAATGCAAACACGATTTGCTTGATTAACATATTTTCTGATTTTGTTTAGGGATCAAAATTCAAAAGATTTCGCATTTTTTTAAGTCAATTTCTGTGATTTCTATACCTCAACTAATGCACAAATTAAGGTACAAGACCCAACTTTCTGTACCCACAGAGTTGTTAATAGATAGCCAAAGAAATATGTTTTTATTCAAATAAAATAACCATGTAAAATATGTCATTGTTACCACATATTACACAATATAGCTGAAAGGTTTTAAGCAGCTTCCAACACGAGATATGAACATATTAATAAGAAAATGTTTTGCGGTTTTTGCGAGTAAATATAAATTAAACGTGTAGTCTATCTTCTTAGAATGTCGTAGGCAGTTCTAAAAATTCTCCAATATATAAAATAACCCACAGTTAATTGACCGGCAATATAATTTTATAAAGGTTACAGAGTTGGCGTCAGCAATAATATTTTTTTCTGTTTCAATTTTTTTTATAGTTTACTTATTATTTAATTTAAACAATACAAATTTCAGGGCTATTTACTACCATAAAACTACAAAAAATGGAATTATTTCGAGGGCAACAACATCGGAATGAAAAAGATACTTTAGATTCATACACTTCTTTTGAAAACTTCAAACATTTTTTTGCATTAATATTTATGAGAAAATCCCATTAATCATAGATGTCCATTACTTTTGATCTCGCTAACGTATATCCTTTTTCTTGAAATCAATCGATTAAAATAGCTGCAAGAACAATGTAAATTGTTTATAAAATCTCATATTGAACAATGAAAGCAGCAAATTGATTTAAATAGAAAAATATTATTAACTCTGAAAAGTAATAGTAAACCGACGATTGGACTATAAAAACAAATAAATCACCTGAAAGTCTATTTAGTTTTATATAATTTTTTATCTGCAAATAATCCACACATCGTAATATAAATATAAGTATTTATTATCTATTTGAAATACATAACTTCAAACATTAGTTGATCTAATGACAACAACATTGGTATTCAGTTACCAACACATCCGCAAGACCGATTGATGGCCTTTAAAGGACTTAGATCAATTATTAATATTGCAATTGCGCTGGTTGCTAGTAAATGTAACTTATTGGCAAACGTTTCAAAACATTTCTACACAGGGTTAATCTTTTCCGCTTTAAGCAACTCAATTATTTATATCAAACGCAAGTATAAACAAAAGTATGTAAAGTTTTAAAGAAATTGCGCATATAGTTTCTAAAAAAAGATTTGAATTGACCCAGCTCATCAATTTCGTCATTACATCATGTCACAAATGAATATGTTATTGCTAATAGATAATCCTCGTTTGGGTCACATGAGGCTTATCAATATTAGAGCCATGATTATCAACTCTTTTGACAATAACATCTCACTAAACTTTGGGTATAAATTATATCAGTGTCTGAAGAACCATTGAACGATACGTTTTAGGTAAGTTGCGCCTAGAGAATAAATTCACTCAGTTAAATTTTTGTTTTCCAGATTAATCATGGGGACTGTTTTGAGTTATATTACTCCTGCCAATTCTGGTCGTTCAGATGATCCAGACCCGGTTACAGGACTCACATCCAAAGAGAAATATTTAGTCCGCACTTCCTGGGCGAAAATTATGAAAAATCCTGCCGATAGCGGGGTCGCTTTGCTTTGCTTGTAGGATCTTTGCATTTTTTACTTATTAATTATTAATTTCATTTTTGTCACTCGTTTAGGTTGTTTGAAAGGCATCCAGAATACGTGCAACTGTTTCCATTTAGCGACGTTCCTCCTTCGGAATTTAAAACAAACGTGCGATTTAGGGCACATGCAAACAGTGTCGTGTACGCATTATCTTCTATTGTGGATGCTCTCAATGATAATAATTTGCTGGTGCAGATATTAACGAAGACTGGTTCTTCGCATGTTCCTCGACATGTTACTGCGGACGCTTTTATTGTAAGTATTTTTAGTGCTAGTTGACGTCGTGATCATTATTCCTCAATGTTCTTTGGAAATAACTAGAATAAATTCGCAAGAGATTTTATTAGTTTTTCAATGTTCGCTGTTGCTGCTAAGACTATGCTAAATGTTTAGATTTGTTTAAAAAAAAAATGCTCTTAAAGCTAAATTGCTCATTAAAAAATGAAAACATTAGGCCTTTGCAGCTACTGCTTGAATCTGCCGGCTTTTTGGCCCAAATAATTCTGTGCCACCACGGTTTAAAAGCCCGAACAACTCACTAGTTTTACAATTTAAAATAAAAATATTGAGAAGCTTAATTGGGTCTGGTTTTGGAAGATACTAAATAGCCTGTTTGGTAAACCAAATAAATATCGGATGAAAGTTGTAATCGGAAAGAGTTTCAGTTTTTCAGTAGGATATAAGTATAAACAATTTAAGAAACTTTGCTGTTAGTCAAAAATCAAAATTCAGATGGAGTAGAACCAACAACTCTTTTTTCCGAGAAGTCGCCTGTTCTTCAAAAGTCAACTTTGATTTATTTGCTCGCATTGTTACTCTCTGATAGCAACTAAATGGCACTTCATTGTTATGTAATAACATTTTCTATTAAAATAGGTGGGCGAGCTTTTCGAAATGCAATAATTCAACTTTTACGAAAAACGAACATTTTCAACTTGTTGCTCTTGGTTTTCTCTTCAATTTTTTCACAAAAAAATAAGCCTAAAAATACCAAAACGAATATCTACATATTTCCAAGTTAAGATCCTCAGTACTTTTTGAGTATGCAATCTCAGTTTAACAAATTTTTGAAAATTTGTGCATGTTTTGTGAATACAAACCGTCTATTCGGGGAATTTACGCGTTTCGAAGTAAAAATGAATTACGATAAACAATTCTTGATGCGACCTTCTAGCGCTATTAAAATACGATTAATCGAGATCGGAAATTAATTTGATACTTCACTGCGTTTGTAAATAACGTCCGATCTTGTTCCCGCTTTTGGAATTTACTGAAATTCAAAATTCACTCAAAATGTCAAGTTCCCAACAAATTCAACTGGGAAAAATATATGCTTTTTTATATTATTACTTAAGATGTTTGTGAATAATGCAAGAACAATTGTTTTTTAATGCCGATTTACATAAATGTTTTATGTATTATTTGTTACATTTTTTTCAGCATTTAAAAGAAGTTACAATCGAACTGTTTTCGACAATTTTCAAAGCTGACGAAGTGGCAGCCTGGAAGAAAACGTTCGAAGTCGCATTCTCGGTGATAATCCAAGGCATCGAAAGTGTAAATTGAAATGCACCCGTTCTCAAATTACCATCATTTGAATCTTCACGTTGTGCTTTTTTTTATTTCAGCTGTATTCATGACTAATAAGAATATTAAGATTAAGCGACTAGACTATCAGAAAGAAATTGGGAAAATGCAGATGTAATGGTTTATATATTTATATGTAATATTTTGTTCCTCTTGAGTTTTTCTTTGGAAAGTAGATTGTATAACTTAATCAAAGCCGGAACTTGCATTTCCACGTATGAGTTAACAAACGTTTAGTTGATTTTTAGATTCAAAACTTTAATTCGGGAATACCATGTAACGTTGACACTGATATATCCAAATGATTATGTAAATGATCATTATTTTTAAGGGTAATTTTGTGCAATATGTGTTTTATTCAAATATTGTTCATTTGAATAATAGCTACGTTGATGACAAAAAAATATAAAGTACTTATTGTGTAAGCTAAGATATGCAAATAGCAACTAAATGTAGATTTTAGTTATTTTAAAATAATTTTACCGATATCGCAAAATAAGAATAATAACCTACAATTATATATTAGGTAATTTTAAGTTTTGTAGTAAAGTAAAAAAACCTAAATACATTCCTAAATTTCACAATGTGTTTGTTTTCTCTAAATCAATTCTTTTTGATTTGTTATTAATCAATTGCATTTCTAGATAGGATGGGAATAATTACTAGCTATTTTGGCAGAGAGCTTGAAAGAGATGATGATCCAGATCCGAAGACTGGATTAACTTCCAGAGACATTTCCGTGTTGAAAACGACATGGAAGCGAATTACTGAACGAGGAGGTACTTTAGAAATCGGAATAGCCATTTTTACCAAGTAACAAATCTCAATACTTTCAAAATAGTCAATGTTAACAAAAGAAAATAAATTATCTTTAGCTTATTTGAAAAACACCCAGAATATCAACAATTATTCCCATTTAAAAACCTACGAAGAGAAGAGCTGAAAACTAGTAATAAGTTCCGAGCTCATTGCATCAGCGTAATGTATGCTTTAACTTGTATAGTTGAAAATGTTTCTGAGCCTCTCATACTGGAACAGTTATTGATTAAGCAATCAACCAGTCATGTACTCAGAAACGTTCCAGATCAAGCATATTGGGTTAGTAGTTTTCAAAAAAAAATCCTGCCGTTTTTTTCATTTCTTCTTTTTAGTTAATTGAGTTTATTGTTTTGCTTTCAGGACATTAAAACTGTAATTTTATCAATAGTAGCAAGCTCGATGAACCCAAGCGAAGTTTTTGTTTGGGAGAAGTTTCTGAAATTTGCATTTAGAATTATGGTAGCAACTGCTGAAGAAACCAGGAACAACTAGTGAACATTGGACTCACTATCAAATTTACCAAAAGTACATATGTTTTGTAAAAATAAGTAATGAAAGTTTGTTACAAACCAGTGTAAAACTTCTTTTAAAATATATCTGAGTGTAATTTTTTAAATCTTAGATCAATCAAATAGTTGAGTACAAGCCTTGCTAATTTAACTTTAGATTATCTAAGCAATTTTTATGTTGTATGTCGTTAATCTTCTTTTTATTGTTTTCAACGTCATTAATTTTCTTGAATTTATTTTTATTGGCGCTTCATCTATATATATTTTGGTTTGTATGTCTAGTTGTATATCAAATAAAACAAACAAAGCAAATTAGAAAAATCGATTTATATTTCTTTATCATACTATGCACTTACTTTGCACCATTTTCATATTCTTATGCACGAAACAATTAGTTTTCATAAATAAGTCACACTTTATTAAAAAAGGTATGCCAATAGAAGGCAAAATGTAAAATAAAACAGGAACACGATGGTTATTCTGGCAAAAAATTGAAGAGGATGTTTCGGAGCGGTTTGTAACCGATACATAACTTAAGTTCTATTTCTAGTTTCACATAAACGTGAGTATTATTTTTATTACATTTAAGTATTTATAGCAGTTATGACTGGCGCTGATGTCAGTTTTTTAGCATTTCTTAAACTACAGTTTTAAGTGATAATTTTTATATAATAAAGTTCAACTAAAAAAAACTGGGTTTAAGCGTTTTGACTCTGCACTTCCCGATCTTGCAAATGTTATAATTTAAACAAATATATTAGTATGGATGAAATTATGTTCATATCGAAAACATTAATATTTGCAAGATATGAAGAACTACTGCTGAAATGTCTATTTAGCTACTCTTATCAAATGTATTTTAAAAAGATTTAATTCCATACATACTGGATTACGAAGATTTCATAATCGTTTAATTTTGATGAATCGTTCCTATCATTATTGAGAATAATCAAACAAAAGAAAATTAGGTTTTTGCAAAAAATAGTTATTTTAATTCGATAATTCATTATCGACTTTGTGCTTTAGCAATTTTTCGTTAATGTGCGAGGAGTGCAAGAAAGTTCATTCTTAGCACTCTTCCGTTTTAAATTAATAAATTCACAGCTTCAAAAACGTAAGTTCTAGGCCTTAATTCTAGGTTCTTTTGGTAAAAAAAATGGTATTTACAGTGCGAAATGATTGGTATGTACAAAATAAATATGAAAATTAAGTCAAATAAATTAAAACAATAGTATATAACACAGCAACAAAATATAAGTAATAATTTTAACGTTGTGATGTTAACCAATTAGAAAATACTTATTTAAATAAAGGTAGAAAGTTAGTAATTAAAGATGACTGGCTTTTTTCGCGTTTGCATGTTTGGAATGGAAACGAAAAATACAATAATTACACAAATATCGAAACCATGCGGTTCGAAACAGCGAATAAATGGCATAAATAAATTATTAAACTTTTGCAATTCCATGTTGCCTTTGCTGCTCCACTGACAAAGCCTCGTTTCGATTTGTAACTACACTGGATATTTTCCTTATTTTCATACGGCTGGAAAACGGGTAGTTTTTCGATGGTTTCCTTCTGAAACAATATAGCAAACAATGTAAAGTTTTCAGCTGTTGGCAATTTACGGCGGGCAGTAAAAGAAATATGTACACAAATAAAATAGGCGGTATTTTATTCTGTCGCTTTTTTTGATAAAACCGTTTTCTGAGATTTCGTAAAACAGTCTGAATATATCGATTTTTTTTACATATTTGTACTTTTTTGTAGTTTTAATCAAATTTCGGTTGTTTAAGTAAAAATCCTTGTTTATTTCTTTAAATATATACGCATAATAGGTGTTTTATAATAAGTGGGTGCTTTAATGACAAAACAAGAAGAAGCGTGAAAAATTATGTAATATCGAATTATTGCTATTTATGATTACTAAGTCTTGTTCTTGTTCAACAAGAACATTTTTCAAGATTAAGAATATCTGATATTCCATTTAAATCAACATTAATCTATTGCCTATTTCTCTGCTTGTAGGTGTAGAGTTTTTCCACTTTAAAATTTTAATTAGAGGAAAATTTATTAAGGTTTAAGTTTCCAAAAACTTCAACAAAAAAAACTTAAATAAAATTCGCTTGTTTGTCATTTGTATTTTAGGATCAGTGTTAACATTTGACTTTTTATACTTTTGTTATTCAGTGCGTCCATAAAGACAAAAATTTATGGAATTTTTCAATCAAATGCTTAGGAGTGTATTGCATTGATTTGAAGTGCGAATTTTTTGAGAAAAAATTTAAGCTGACACGACGTTCTAAAATTGATATTTAAGTTGAATTCTTGAAACGAGATTAGAAGGTAACTATTATTTATTTTGTAAGCGAGTAAATATCGATTTCATATTTTTGATTTTGTACTCAACACAAAAAAGAGGTGTTCTCATTTGCAACATTCAACTTAAGAGTGGTGTCTCAAATTCGGCACACACTGTATATTTAAATTTTCTCTTGAAACATGGGCACTTGAAAACAGTAAAATAATTGTCCAGGTATTTTTTTGGCTGCCAGGTGGAAAAAGGGCGAGGGCGAGGAGTAACAATATCCAACCAAACCCAGCAACAGGCCTCGGAAAACGGACGGATTTAACCAGAAACAACCACGGCAAGTGCTGCTCTGAGCTCAGAACCATCTATTTCTAGAATTTCTTCTTACTCCACGATCATGATGATCAGTTTTTGTTTTATTTGGTTTGGCTGCTGGCCTGACTGGCTGTACAGGGATTGGGAGAAGTACTGTATCGCAGCCACTATATCTGTTTCGTCTGTAACTATTTCTCCCAGATTATTCTTCATCTTATGGATGACCATCTTTCCCTTAGCTCTCTTTGAGCGTAGCACTCTTACGTCCAAATTTTCTTCGATGGCATCGAGAATCTGTTGTGTGTTGTGTGCCCGTATATCTATATATATATCTTCGCATTGCTGATTTTACTTCCTTGTTCAATATTTTATATCGTGGTGCATCTCTGTGTGTGTTCCGACGCTCATTATTAGCTGGGTTGTGTTGACACTGAGTTTGTCGTTTTTCTTTGTCTTAAGAGTGCCAACTTTCCTTGTGACTTTTCTGATCCTGTTGGAAATTTTGGTGTTTAGTTCGCTTATGTTTAGCTGTTCAAGAGCCTCAGTTGGTTGGATCTTCCCTCCTATTTGCCTATTGTATTCTTCTTTCTTTTCTGTCAATTCTTTTATAGATGGTTTTATCGTTTTTGTAATCATTTTCTTCGTTCGAGACGAGTGTTAATTTCTATTCTTGCTCTCACCAGCCTGTGGTAACTGCCCGTGTTGAAACGGTTCAAGACAGATACGCCCGAACATATTCTCCTGTCAGAAGCAAGTGTGTATTTCGTTACATGTGATATCATTGGGACTCTTCCATGTCCATTTTCTTGTGGGTGGTTTTGTGTAACAGTGCATTCAAGAACTTAGTTCAAATCAATAGGAACGAAACCTGGGAAAGGAAATGCAAAGAGGTTGACTACTAGATGGGCAGTACAAGATCGTCAGAAGCTTGGAACTTAATTCGTTCCCTAAGAAAGGATACATGTAATAAAACCAACCTACAGCCAATACAATTAGACCAGTGGAGGAAACACTACGAAAAAACGCTAAAGGAAGAGAGGGAAGAATATGTAATGAAACTGGAACCGCCATACACTGTGGAAGGAGAATCCATCGAGATCAACAGAAGCATGAGAAACGCTCTAAAACATATGAAGAATAATAAGGTGCCAGGAACCGAAGGAATACCAGCAGAATTTTTGAAAAACGGCCCAATAAAACTTCTTAGCTTCCCGAAAGAACTTTTGGCAATATACATAAATGGAGGACGAATCCCACCAGACTGGAAAGAAGCATGGACAACACCGATTCACAAAAAGGTAATAAATACGCCTGCCCGAATTATAGATGTATCTCGGTCACTAGTACAATGAGCAGACTTGATGGTCGAATGATTAGAGACATAATAGAAGAGGAATATCGTCCTAACGAAATAGAAGAGCGAGCAGAATTTTGGGCCGGCCGATCATGTGTGGGCCACATATTCAGCTTTGTACAGCTGAACGAGAAAACAACTGCTACAAATAGAGAAGTACACCTACTTTTTGTTGATCTTACAAAAGCTTACGATACAACTCCTATCCAAAAATTTTGGAATGTGATGGAAAAGTCTCGAATAAATAATACTGCAATAAAAGCAATATAACAGCTCTGTCACCAGGCATCATCACGAGTCAAAACAAGATTTAATCTGTCTGATAGCTTCTTCATAACTAAAGGTCTGCGTCAAGGATGTTTTTTATCCCCTACACTTTTCAAAATCTATTTAAACGAAGCTCTAAAGAAGTGGAGAACGTTATGTAAGGGTATGGGAATACAACTCAATGACAAAAAACCTTTATACATATACACTCCATTTTCCAGACGACCAGGTGGTAATCGCTCAGGATAAAGAAAACATAGAATTTATGACAACAACACTTCTCGCAGAATACGGGAACTGGGGGATGACGGGAAATAAATAAAAAACCAAATACGTATGCATTGGCTAAGACCGGGAAATTTAACATTGGACAACAACGTCGAAATATCGGTATACGACAAACATACTTACCTAGGAACACAATTAGATAAAATAGGCAGAACAGAAGCTGAGATAGAAGCAAGAATAATGAAAAGAAGGAGGAAAATCATATAACACTATTTTTAAAGCATACTCTTATATGGATGCGAAACATGGCAACTAACGAAAAACCTCGAGAGTGGACTCATGGCGCTTGAGATGGACTTTTAGAGAAGATCTGCAGGAAAATAAAGGATAGAAAGAATCACGAATGAAAGAATAAGAGAAATAATGCAGGTAGAGAAAACAGTAATAGACGAGATTCAAAGAAACAACTGATATGGTACGGACACAGAAAAAATGAGTGATGGGCGGATTCCTAAAATGGTTATGAAATTGACACCTCACGAGAGAAGGAAAAGAGGAAGGCCGAAAGCAACATGGTTCGGAGGAGTCCAAAGAGCTATGTCAGAACGGAATTTCCATCTGGCAGATGGGAAATGCAGAAGACGCTGGAGACTGGGAACCGGATGGCGTAGAACGCTCTAAAACGGATATATATTTTTTGGTAGAAGCTAATTTATTACTTACTTTACAGGCAATATCCAAAAAAGGTACATTTGGAGTGAATTAGAATTTGACTGTAAAAATTGCAGTTTCTTCACATATACAGGGTGTCCCGTAAGCTCATGATCAAAAGGGTACCGCGATATTCTTTGGACCAAAATAAGACGATCTGACCTAACTTTTATTAACAAAAAATGTCTGGCTCCTCTGCTATTGATGGTCAAAATTCTTCAAAAAATTTATCTTTTTCGAACTATCGGGAGAACGGTACAATGTATTTTAGTGAAACTCGCTGTGAGTTTGTTCTTATGTAAGACTCATATTTATATTTTTAATTAAATTAAATATAATTTAGCATTGCTAAGTGACTAGAAAACAAACATATTTTTTACGCAAAAACTATGAATGCTACAAGATTTTACAATGAGCACAAAATTGTGAATAAATGATTAGTGCATCAACCTAAAAAAATTAGTTGATTTCATCCTCCAATTGAAAAGTTCTGGTAGTTTTTGTACCACGACACTCAAAAATTCACCACTTGTCCAAAACGGCTGAACTCGATGTTTTTATCAAACTATGAATATACACTTACATAAGAACAAATTCACAGCGAGTTTCACTAAAATACATCGTACCATTCTCCCGATATTTCGAAAAAGATAAATTTTTTGAAGAATTTTGACCACCAATAGCAGTGGAGCCAGACACTTTTTGTTAATAAAAGTTAGATCAGATCGTCTGCTTTGGTTCAAAGAATATCGTAGTACCCTTTTGATCGTGAGCTTACGGGACACCCTGTATTTACTATTGCATTATGCCCCAATTGGCACCAATTTAAACAGTGTGAGTTTAAATAGCATGAATTATTATGGGAGGAAACGATATGCAAAATATTAAATGGGCCCTTTTTCAGTTTAAATAAAATTCTCTCAAAGTTGGGTTTGATGCGTTAAATTGTAGTTGTAGACTCTACTGGCTTAGAAAGCCTTATTACAAAAGCTTCAACGCATTTGAATTACCTAATTTCCAAAGGCATTTTAGTGCAAAAAACGGCCTTCGCGTTAAATGCATACAATTATTTGGTAAATTTTCGTAGTTCAAAAAATGTTATATAATTTGTTACATACACTCTCTGCAGATTTAGATACCATATTTCGTTCCATACTTACAATTGCTAAAGTATCATCACGTTTTCGGCAAAAAGTCATGTGCAATCCATTGTAAAAGTATTCTTCCATTTTTTTGGTCAGTATAGTCTCGTTGTAAGGAATATTTTGCAAATGCGACATAAAAGACTTGTTTCGAAACTCCAGCGGCTCTGAAATAAACGATACTCTCCGTAAGAAATTAAATTGTAAATCGGCTGTTCAAATTTCAACCAATTCCAAATTGCGGCTGATATAATAATAAAGACCTGTAAAAATATGCAAAATTTGCAATTTGGACTAAATAAATCGACAGAATTTCGTCAGATCTGAAGTTACTTTTCAAAGTATTGTTTATTAATTTTTAAAATTAACTTTATTAACAATTTGATGCTCAATGCTCGTACCTTTAATAACCAGCTTTTCAAAAACACTTTTCTCAATCGTATCCCCTTCTATGCTGTATTCTTTGGCATTCTGTAGAGCGATAATCGCCCGCCGATTAGCTTCAGGAGACATTTCGTCTCCAGGATGAATTTCAAATGGCTTCTGTGTGGTTGAAGGCATACTTTCAGTTTCCATCCTGGAAATGAATTTATTGGCTTTTTAGTTAAGTTTGGCGCCGTTTTTAGCAAATTTATTTGGCACTTACTTGCCCTCCAATAAGGCTTGCTCTACTTCGCTCATATTTCTCCCATAGAACTCCTTGACTCCCAGATTTTCAAAAAAGTATTTCACTGGCGGTATTGAATAACATCCGGATAGTTCTGTTCTTGGATAGTACATGACAAAAGACAGGCACATTTCTTCTCTAGTCGAGTATCCTCCGAGAGTGGGTTTGTTTCGGTTCAATGTTGAATATGTACACTCTGTGATGAGACCATCTCCAGGCAGAATTGTGGTGTCTTGAGATAGAGCGCGCGATTGTTGATAGTTGAAGTCATATCGTTCATCCTGTAAAAAATTTGCCATTTCAATTTTTTCAACACACAACAGGCAGGTTTTTGAGACAAACATTTACCTGGGCTAAAGGTTGGAGTTCTTTACCGGCTCGGATATGTCGTAGTTTCAGTTTCCTTCCGGCTAGATGGGAATGGAGCATCACAGATATAACATTGATGCCGTCTTTTGGAAACACCTGCAAAAGTAAAAAAAATGGAGAATTTAATCTGAATATTCTCTTGAGGGTACAAGATTTAGAAACCACTCAAGTGGCCCAAGTGCAGTACACTCCATATTAGCCATAAATGGAAATCTGGCATGCTGATTTAATTCCAATTTAATATTTTAGAGCGAAACGGGGCGATGTATATCAAGAACCATGAACTAATCTAATGTTCCAATCGTCCGCATTCACTTCCGGATGCAGAAACGACGTTTCTTATTCAGCATGTATAATAAATACATTTAAATTCAGACCACAAACACTAATTACTCGCAGCTGCGACTTCAACCTGAAATTGCGCTAAGTTAATTAAAGCTCTAATACTACTAAGAACATAACGGGAAAACTTCAATTCACAATAAATGAGTGTAAAATTTTCGATGTAAACCATCCCTACCTCTTTCGTGCAATCCAGGCTGCAATATCCAGCTGTTTTGTATTCTTTTTGATAGGGCGGTATAAAATGCAAAGTCGATGGAGCTACTCCAGTCATGAGAATTCCTCCTTCATTTTCTCTCAGCTTGTTCGTGTAATGCAATCTGTATAACGAGGAAAACAATCTTCAAAAGAACACTAACAGTGTGACATCCTATTCAAGGTGAACTAATGAGAGCAGGAGGAATATGAGTAACAAACAATGTTTACCAAATAATTACATTTTCTTTTTACTGCATTCTAATTCGTAATTTTAATCCTTCGAACTGAATGAAGCATTTCCAGCTCCCTTGAAATATTGAAAACAACCGAGCCGAAAACAAACTGGGTGGGAAAACTTCCTTAAAGTTCTCTTTGAGGCGTTCAAGCAGATCTCCGATTTAACGGCAAATGTTGCCTTGAATAAGTCGGGAATTCAAGAGATGATGAATGAAACAATTATAACTGAAGGTTTGAAATAGGAAAATGCTTAAATAGATACTCGTAAAATACCTTGACACGCTTACAAATATCATAAAAATAATTTTAAAAGACTATTTTACAGTCACTTGCTGACCTTAATCCAGATGTGTCTCTTGCGGGTTTCATTTGTGGGTTGTCAAAGTGAACTTCCAACATATAAAATGTATTCTTTTTGCGCGCTAATGGCAGACCCACGTGATTTGGAAAATTTTCTCCTGAAAAAAAATTATGATAAGCATTCTAAAAACAAAATAAAAATAGGCAAAACAGTTGTAGTTCTCGGTAATTTTTTGTTTTAAAATGCAAAGGGAATTAAATACAACATAATTTCAACAAAAACCTTTCAAAAGCAGTCAAATCATACGTTTATTCATCTGAATTGCCTTTAAAGAGCAACAACTTTTCTCAGTGGTCACAATTTTTACATTTTTTATTTCTTATTCTTCTACTGCTTTCTACAATAAATCTACGCTGTTTGACTGGTTCTAAATGATTTATATAATATTCTTTATAGGATATCCGAGCTTGATCAGAATACATCAACTTAACTTTCAAAAACTTTCAAAAGCCAAGTTTTGAATGAAAGTTGTATCAAAATTTGCTGAAAGTAATAAATTTAATTTTATTGCCATATTGGCCTCTTTAAACAGTTCGAACGCAAATATCTTGAAAATTATTGTTTTTCTTAAACTCTAAAAAAATAAAAAGTTATTATGACTAAAAATCGATTTAAATGAATTTGCACTGCCAAAATGAAAACACATTTTTCTATTTACAGACTCAAACTCGCACTGGAAAAGTCTGGATTTCAGTCCTTATTTCCCGGCTAGTTATGTCGTGATTTTTTCTATAAAGTAGGCGATTCACAAAAACATACATTTTATAATCAAAGATTCAAATAATGGGCATTCAAACAATGTATCATACAAAAATTTCGATCATCTCGCTTGTTCAAAGAGTTTTTTAAATACCTAAAATGTTTTGGAGACATGCAGGAACATTTTCCACGCTTTGGGAAATTAATAGGAATAATTACTATTTAAAATTTCTGTTTCAAAAAAATTTATATATATGTAGAGGAAATCTTTTATTTTATTGGAAAAATAAAAAAACAGCATATACAAAAGGAAACGTACACGTTTGGTAAAACTTGTTAAGCGAATTATTATTTTTCGTTACGCTTCAGCGCCATTAAACTTCTTTAGGTTTAATTGATAAGATAATAAAATTGGAAATATGTCAAGAACAAATTCTTGAGAAACATTTCGCTATCGTTCGCTATATCATTCAATCATAAAAATTGATAATACCAACAAAAATTAAGAAAAAATTAAACAACAAAAATTACATTGGCTAATTATTATATGATACGAAGAAACGGCCCCTGTTTACATATGAAGTGATATTGAAATATCTGAAACCTTTGCGAAAACGTTTTTTCGGCCTACATTGTGCCACTTTCAACGCAGTGATTTTACCTCCGAAAATAGAAGCGTTCTTTACTGAAAAAATGAATAATTGACAATTTGTTTTCTTCGTCGTTACTTTTAAAGAGATACATAAATCGCAATTTTCGCGTCATGTGAGTCGAATTTTTTTCCCATCATGCTCTTATTCCAGTTTGAGCAGCGACCTAAATATTTAGTTACTGTATATATTGTATCTTCAAAAAAAAAAAACAACGCAGTGAGTACGAAGTTTAATAAGCTGAAATAATTTAGACAAAATATAACAAAAGTGATTCATGATTTTCAAAGGAGATTGCAAAATTTTCGTTCCTCCAGTTATATATTTTCAAATTCATTTATTGGGGACACCTTCATTTTTATAGTATATTGTACTAACCATATATCAAGAAGGAAATTAAGGGGCAAAGTTCGCTCTCCAGATTTTGTGGAGAAAAGAGTCGCTTTGTCCGTAAAATCAACCCTTGCAGAAGGGAATAAACTCCTATTACAGATTATTTATTAAAGGCCAAGAACAAAATGCGAAATGCCATGTTCCGTGGAATTATATCTGGGTTCGCTCTTTGTGAGACTGGTAATGAAGTACCAGCGGCATATTTATCTCATAGTTACGCCTACATTTCATTGGCAATATTTGAGTTTTTTGTTTTTTTTATGACATTTCTGTAGGTACTTGCAAATGTTTATGTCTAGGTGGTTGCATCTATACAATTCCTCCCATTATGTCTAGTTTGCATTATATTAAAACTATTAAACAATATAAAAAAATTGGGGATGGTTTTCAATCATTATTAGTTTCTTTCAATGTTTGAATTCTGGATTTTAAATTGTGATAGGAAATTGTTCCAAAAATATCCCCAGAAATATGTAAACGACGGAAAGCAAATAAGCAAGCATTTGAATATAAGTACTTAATTCTTAAAATACATTCGGTTTTTGAAGAAAAGATTGCAGTTGATCAAAGGAAACTTGATAGAAAAGTTCATACAAAAAGATTGTAAAAAAAGTCAAAAACGCATCATTGCGGATCTACAGGCTGCCGAAGATTAAAGTTTTTTTTTATAGCTGCCCAGTAGGTTTCCATTATTTCTCTGATTCATGTAAAGACAAAATCCGATCAATTGTTTATTAATAGAACCAAAAAAAGCTAAAATAAAACCTATAGAAATTTAGTTATTATTTTATGAAACAAAATTTAAATTAATGACCAATAAAAGGATAACCAAAGGTCAGAACCAACAATTTCACAGAATTTTAGCGCTCAATAATTCTCTTTGTATTGATGGTAATCGGCTGCTGTTTTTCTCTCTCTTGATTTTTTGATATTTTTAATTTCTCTTGTATCTCATCGAATTCTCCTTTAACCCTGTTTTCATTTTACAAATTCGGTAGTAGTTTTGTTTTGGGGACACGCAATTATTAATAAGGAATTTTATCAAAAAGTCTGATAATTTTTCTATAAACACTTAAAAAATGCAATAAACATTTTAACAAATTTAACTTTTTTATTTGCATCTTTGCTCTATTTATTGAGAACTTTCACTCTAATTTACTGAAAGGAAAACTGGAAGCTATAACTATTATTAGAATCCACGTTTCCTTACCTTTAGATCCAATTGCCCAAGCTATTAAAGGAGTGAGACATTTTTCCCACTCCAGTGGCATATTGCTATAGCACAATCTTCCTTCTTCGTTGGCGAATTTTTCCCAAATCATCATGTTTGCACCTTCACCCAATTCACATTCGTGCATGATCATGTGATGAAGCATGGAGGTGTGATTTTCGCCAATAATCGGCTCAAACCCCGTTATATGGTGTTTGTCATTGAAAGTTGGTGCTTTGAACACTTTGCACCAGTAAATTGTATCCATGTTGCTTTCCAGTTGAAACTGAAATTATTGAAAAATTTACACAATAAATACTAAAAAAATCCGAAATTTTCGCTTGTTAAATCGTTAAAACAACTGTTTCATTCTTTAATTAAATTCGTATTTTCTTTTCTTCTTTATTTCTTCAATCTTCAAAGATCATAATCAGCGAAAGGTTATTTTGAAAAATCGCATATCGCCTGTGAGTTTTAGAAGAATGGATGTAATTAGCTAGATTATTACGCCTGTCAATTAAAAAATCTATGTTATAATGCATATTTCGTCAGTCGCCTTGTTCCAGCCATATTTGGATCTACGTAAAAACTACTTTTTTACGATTGTCCGTTACATAACGATAGTTCACAGTAAAAGCCGAGAATTTTATATTCAAAATAAAATCATTTAATACCTTGTTGCCATTCCCCGACCAATTCATGTTATTATCAGTCGCACATTTTTGAGAAATCCATCTAGATAGGCTCGACTCGAATATTAAACAATATACGTATAATTGAAATTCTCTATCGATGCCCAAGTTAGTGCTTTATTGGATTCATATAACGTCTGATAACGTAGGAATCTGATACCTGAATTTTATATTTAGTGGATGTTGTTCCCAATTTTAGAAAGGTTAAAGATGCATGTTTCATGTAGATCGACTGAGAATGGCCGAACGCTGTTGTAAAAATCGGTTTAATTAATATTAAGCAAAATATCCGTTTCGTAAAATATAGTTGAAAATTTAACATTTTTAAAATTTTTTTTTATATGAAAACCACCATAATGACTCGTATTTTAGTTTTAAAATTATTGTTGATTTTACAGCTTAAAGTGTAAATGCAAATGTGTAACTTTGTAAATTGTCTATCTAATGACGTATTAATATACAGGTACTTCCATTTGAAAAACAAAAGTTATATTACGTCCACATTGTTAACACCCTGTACAATGTGTTGATATTTTGGTTCCATAGAATTCTTAATGGATCTGTGGTGATTGGAAAAACGTATTTTTTTATATCTATAACTACGTTTTTTTGCTTCTACAATTAATTTTTAGATGCCATGTTTTTAAGCCAAATTTTACTAAAACGACGATAATCTGCCAACGTCGCAAGTAAGAAAAAACAATTTACGGTGCATATGCAGCGTTTCAAGCTGCATTCCATGAGCTAATGAAAAATGGGTAGTTCTATTTAAAAAAATACACTTTGATCTTGTCTGGCTTTTCTGAGACACTCTGTCCCATATAAGATATTTTTTAAATGTGCGCACTTTGTACGTCAACAAGTTTTATATGAAACTATTTTTCGAAAGTTCAACACCAACGGAAATAATGGCCTCTATCGCACTAAAAAACCACCCTGTATGTATTTGTTTCTTTATATGGTGCTCCATTATTGAAACTGAAAACTTGAAGCGCGAAAAAAGAAATGTTTTGCACTTCCCAGAAAAATCAGATAAACGAAAACCCAACGCTTCAAAATACTAACTTATTCTTTCAAGTTTACTTTCAGACAAGTGAAGTATTTAAATACGGTCTTAAATAAAAGAACTTACATTTTTCAATACTACATCCCAATTCCTGCTCTGGTCATTAGCTACTTTTCCTACTGGGGATGGTCCTAACAGATGCAGGCTTTGAACTCCTCTTTTCTCTTCATGATAAACCATTTCGCCTTCAAAACGTGGATCTCTATCATGAATGGCCCAGATTACTCGCACGGTATCCCCCTAAGAGAATAATTCGATATTGCACATTTACTCTTCAACCAAACTAAACTCTTTCTGCCCATATTGCGCCATCTAGTTATTTACATGAATGAACTTTGCATATATATTTTTTCAATATCACTAATTTCGGAGCCATGAAACGACGATTCTTCACTGAATCTTAAGTTAGTTAAATATAAGCTTTGTGTTGATTGCTCATGTTATATCTGTCCATTTCCAGTCAGCTAAACAACCTAATTGCAAACTAAACCGTTTCCCCATTTAGTATGTTAATTTATACATTCAAAATTCATCTCTTTCAAAATGACTGTGTGTGTTTGTGCTACCTTTGTCAACCCTGTGTCAAAAGGTCTGAGAAGACCTGAATGGCCTCACGTCTTTTGATCGTGTGTTTCAAAAACAATGGAATAGTGAAGGCTCACAAAGATTACATTTATAATTCATATTCATGTGCAAACTAGTCAAATCTGCTGAAATTTACGAGGTCAGTTCCGAAATTGTCAGTCCAAAAATGCTTCAAACGGTTTAAAACTACGTTAATGATTGAGTTGTAAAACTTGACGGAGTGAGCGATTTTTTAATTCAATCGCCTGCTGCGAAAGAGCTTATCTCTCTTGCCTCATTCCGAATAAGAGGCTTTGGAAGTTTTATCTAGTTCTGGGACGGCAACTTTCCATTTGCAATTTCGTTTTAGCTGCCTGGAAAAGCGAAACAAACTTGCGACACGTTTTTATTAACTCAAAAAGTCTCTATGACCATACAAATCTCATTTAATGAATCAGCAGAGTGTTATTTTCCTTGATGCTTTGGGGTTTTACGATGAAAAAATTGATAAAATACATGGATTTTTATTGATGAAACAAATATGTGTAACAGCAATAATTATTAAGTAATTTAATAAACTTTTAAGTCGAATACTTACAGTTAGAATATAGTCGTCTGGATCACAAGTATCCAACACTCTTCTGAATTCAATAATTGTGTGGGTGTCGTTTTGTTCTCCTCTCATTAAAGTGTAGTTATCGATTACATCTCGAACTGGTGCGCTTCCTTGGCTTTTGGACACCCCATGGCAATCCTACGAGGAAAATGATGATAAATAAATAACAATCCTATGATACGAGCATTTTGTCGCAAATATGTTGATATTTTATTTTAGTTTTTTTAACAAAAAATTTACACGATTTCTAACATTCATTTATCACGGAGAAACCATCGAAATGGAAGACTTTCTCTCGAAATGTAGAAAAATAGAGGAAATTTGCATTTACGTTGAGTCGCTCATTTAGTGCTTTGTTGAAGCTTTGAAAGAAAAATACTTATAAATAATCTAAATAAATAAACTAAACATTGCCAGCTTAGTTAAAAATAATCGCAAAAAGCTCTTTGTACAAAGAAAACCATAAACATAAAAATAAACAAAATCACATAATAGAAAGTCAGATCATCATTTCAAGTGTAGAAATAAAAATTGTCACGAAGAAAAACTACAATTTTTTTTAAATTGTGTTATATTAATATAATTGTTAAAAAAACTTAAGAGAACATATTTATTAAACAAACTTAAAATTCGAAACTTCCTTTATTGATGGACAGAAGATGGTTTTGAACTAACTTAATTACCAAATAAATAAAATTATTTGATTGCAACATTACTAGATATACATCCAGAACTACTTCCAACAATACGCTTTGGGTAGAATGTTTTTAAGTTGAATTTGAGAATTTGAATTAACCAATTTTATAGAAAGTTAACAACATAGAAATAAAGTAAAAAACAAAGAATAGACAAGTAATAATAAACAAAACGAAAAACGGTATGTAGACAAAAATAACTTATTTATTTGTTTATCAAAAATCTTTTAGGACGTTGATCGAATCAAACCAAATTGTGCATAAATTCTTGTTCTGAAAATAACTTTAAAATCATTGTTAAAATAAAAAATAATTGATGTATTATAAAATATTAATGTATTTATATAAAAGCGTATACATTTGTCATTCTGAATTTTCTATATCAACATTAGAAAGGTTGTTGGCTAGAACTGTTGTCAGTCCTGAACCAGTTTCAATGTGATTAGGTGTACCTGTAAGTTCATTAACTAAATAAATTTACAATGACAAAATATTAAACATTTTGCTCGAAAAATTATTGTAGACAAAAAATGTCCAGCTTGACCAGCTCTCTGTAAAAAATAAGTGAAAATTTGTCCCTCCAAATAAGACTTAATAATTAATTTATATGCAAGTTTTTCCATTCCGACACTGATACATTTTGCCATTTTAAACAAAATATTCCACATGCAGTTTCCTAAATAAACCATGTTTATTTTCAATTAATTTATTATAACAAACAGATTATGCGTGCACTAATTACACTTTTTTGCTGTCGCAATAATCGAGTTAAAATTGGAAGCACGCTTAGCTCTGTAAAATTTATATTTTCTTGGTATAAATTAAAATTTTTTACACTCTTTTCTATTCATCACTATTTCTATTTGGTGTATTCATGTTAGCGCGGCCCTCACAGTGTGAAAGTTCCACTTAGGATTGGATTGTGTTCAGAGTTGAATTTGAATTTTGTGAATTTCTCAGTAGGATTTTCAAATATACAAACTGTAGTTCAACTGGTAAAGACACATTTATTTGAGTGTTACCTTTCAGTTTTCAATCAATCTTGGTTTGGTCTGCAGACACGAATTTGAAAATTTCACAGAATCAATAAATCTTCCGAAACTTTCACAGTATATTCATATTTCCAATCTAGATATTTGCAGTCTTTAGTGATTGAACTAGCGAAAATTCACTTAAATGAGTGTCACTTTGCACTCTTCAATCAAAGTTCGTTCGGTCTGCAGACACAAATTTGAAAAAATCCGTAAGTTCAGCACAATTATAAAATCTTCTTAAACTTTCGCAATATAAAAACGTACTCTGCATCCTTTCAGCGTGAAAGTTTCAGGCTCCTAGTAATTGAACTGGCAAAGATGCACTCAAATGAGTGTCACCTTGTACGTTTCAATCAATTTCTGTCTGTAGATTCAATTTTGAAAAATTCTACAAATTCAACAGCATTTTCAAATTTATTGAAAGTTTTACAGTATATTCATGTTAGCTACATCCTCTCAGTGCGAAAGCCTCTAATGGTTCAACTGGCAAATATGCACTCATTTGAATATACTTCATGTTGTGACTAGTGATATTTAAAGGATTTTATGATAAAACACTAAATACTCCTGGCAAATGGCAAAATTAAAGTAAAAAAATAAACGTAGACGATTTGAGTGGACAAACTTGGCTTGTATTGGCGAAATAATCGAAAGGAGATATTTGAATAAAAAAATGTGGACGGAAGGACCCAACATCCCTGCACAGGAAACCATTATTTTTATGTGTAGTTCGTTCTTCTCTGTACACCTCGTAAAGAAAGAGGCCTCTGTTAAGACCGGATACAGGAAGCCGGGAACAACATCGGTCGTTGCGGCTGCATCAGACCGCGAAACGGCTTCTAATCTACAAGGAGTGAGGGTATAGAGTGAAACTATTCTATTTAATAAATAATGTTACAACACTGAAGTAATTATTTAAATACAATTTGTTCTTCTTCTTCAAACACTTAAATTTTTTGGTCTTTTTAGACGATTCTGCGGCAGGTTTTATTACAGCGTATACTTTATTTAATTATAGCGTGAAAACATAAGTAAAGCCTTCTTAATCGTTGACAGGCAATTAATCTATGATATGATAGTAATCAACTTCTTTAAAGAAAAACAGTGAAGTTCAGCGGACTTTTGCAGTAAACTTTCGCCACATAAATAAGACTTTTTTCATATGAATATATTACGCTAACCTAAGGCAGAAATCAGCAATTAAATTGCAGCAACAGGATATAAAGTTGATGAAAAATTTAATGAATCAAATTAAAGAAACGAATTCGGAAAACATCGAACATCAAGCATTTATATTTTTTTTCCGGTTAACTTTGAGAATGATTTATTGTTTCCGCGGATCAGTTAGATGCCGACATATTTTGTATGGCAATTGCCAAGTATTTCAAAATCCGTTTGTTGCAACTATTCCATTCTACACCAATCGGTTAATAATTACAGCTGGTCCTATTGAAAGGCAATTAATTATTCAGTTAATACAGTCTGGGGACAAACAAAAAAGTTCTGTGGGCCATTATTTGTATGTTTCCCGTGAAAATTGTGGTAAGTGGTACGGTATACATGTGGAATTTCAATGAAACCGTAAATGGAATCGAACGGCTGTAACTCTATCGGATAACACTGGGCAATTAATCGAAGCTTTCGCACGGAAAGATGATAACCCAATCAATTAAATCACATGCAGCAACCAGTAGTGCGATTATTCGGACAGCAACTAGAATTTCCCGTTCAATTATTTTAAATCCCACTCTATCCAAGTTCCAAAGATATTTTCGGAATCGGCTAATTAAAGCGGGTTTATTTTTGAAATTATTTAACCAAAAATATTTAACCTGAAAATTTCTTGTTGTGAGTGACGATAATGCAATCATAATTCAAATAAATCAAAAAATTTGAACATTTCTTCCACTAACGTGGGTTGATTGTTCGTTTCCAACTAACTGCCTGAAACTAACTCGATTATGCTTTTGAGACATGTTGTTAATCAAAATAAACTCATTTAGGTTTACACAGACACCAATTACTATAAAACTCCCGTAAACATCTATATCGGGTTGAAATCTTCTAAAAAAGCAATAGATTAGGTGCAAGAAACGAATTTATTTCTTAAATTTAGAAGCAAATCCGCCTATAGAAGGCTGATATTTTTTATTGTTTTCCTGCACACAGTGTGCTACCAAACAGTCTAATTATTCTTGAAATGTTTCCGTTAGATCGAGTGTTACATAAAAATAAAAATGTATAAAGTTGCCAAACAAAGTTTATTGTTAGATACAATTATACAAATTTGTTTATTGGCATATGTTTACAACTGAACCCATAATTGAGCCGTACTGAAATAAATTGAGCTGAAAATCCTTAAATATAAAATTAATGAACGTAAAACAGGAAACTTCACTTACCATCAAAGGCCTGTAGGGTGCCCTGATGTCTATTTTTAATATTTCTGCTTTTAATCTGGTATATATTCAAGTCACGGAAATATTTTACCCGACAAAACTTCACAATTTTTCTATATTTTATTTTTAAGATTTCAATAGTTTTGAAAAATTGTCTAAAAGTTTTCTGACATGAAATTTCTACATTCTCACAGAAACATGTCTTTTAGTATCATACGGGGTGATTCGAAATTGGCGTCATTTCTCTGGAGGTGTTGTCTGGCTGTGTTTTAGAAGAACAGAAACAATAGTAAAAAATATTAAATTGCTATTAAAAACTGAGAAATTTGCAAAAAAATATATTGGAAAGACCACAACAATGTTTTTCAAGGTAATCTCCCTAATTAACGTTACGAAAATACCTGTTGCTTCGTTATTAAAAACTCCGCTAACCATGGAATTATACAGAAAGTGACAATAAAATAGACAAGGATAAACGGTAAATTCAACAGGATTCGTTGAATGTGGAACGTATTTTTTCGAAATGTCAATTATTGTCGGCATAACCTAGAATTGATGTTTACAAATAAACATACATTGGAGTCATTAACTCCAAACAAGTAAGTGCCTGTGTAATCACCTGATTATTCACTCTTATCGAGCAATAATGTAATTATCTGTTAATGAGAAAACACGTTATTGCCTCTTTGACTTTTCAAAATTGTAGAAGTGTAGAAACTTTTTTAATATCACAAATTTTCGTAATTATATATATTAAGTATTTTAATATGCTACCAATTAAACATGGAAATAATTCAAAATAATACATAATAATAAAGTTGAAATTCGATTTTCAACTGTTAATATCTTCTAGAAATTATCAAAAAAAAATTGTTTTTAATATTTTTTTCGTCGGTATTCTCAAAGTGAGCTCCTATTACCCCTTAAAAAGAATAACGCCTTAATTTTGAATCACTCTATTTATATAAAATTTTTAAATTGTACAATTTAAATTGGATATTTTAAGATCATATAAATTAATAATTTAAATAATAAATTAATAAATTTAAATAAATAATAAAAATTAAATTAAATTAATTGGACAACATGAAATTATTTGATTTTCGGATTATCCTCTTAAATCGAATCTGCAGAATTGGATTAAAATAAATATACAAACACCTCCTTAAATAAATGGCATATATATCTTCAGATTTATTTAATATCCTATAAAACACCATTAGTATATTTTATTGAGAAATCAATGCACATGTGTTGACTAAAATTCATTTTCCAAGCAACTGCAGCAGCTTCAGACCTACCTTTTATTGCTCTGTAAATATAAATTTCCACCAGTTAAATCACAGTTTATTGCTTCCATTAAAGATAAAGAACTTCGAGATTGGGCATTGAGAAAAATTATTCTGTATAATAAAAATTACATAAATAGTGTGTGATTTATGGAAATTTAATATCAGATCAGATACAACAGCTTCTTTTGGATAAAACAAGATACCACAAATTCTCACTTTCTTTTAAACCTTGGGCAATTTTTCTTAGTGCTATTTGTCAATGTGGGTTGCCTCAGTTTAACGAGTGCATCAGGAGTTCTCTCTTCCATTAAAAGAAAATGAACTTTCCGCTATAAACCGTATAAACCTTTGCAGGTCGCACACATAAAGTTAAATTACGTTAGCCACTGTCCATAAAAAATGCGACTGAAACAGTCAACTTTTCGCACTGTATTTAAGACGGATGTTTCCAGCAAATCACTGTAGATTTTTCACGGTATTTAGTTTTTTTGGAGGCAAGTGATTAAGGAGGATAACAATAGCCTGTACTGTAATACTTTCACTAGTTTTATTTTAAAATGGAGCAAAAAAACTAAAAACTTATTAAGCATGAAAAGAATGTGTGTAAATTTGAAATCCTTTAAGCACTTTTTGACGAATTGTTAAAAGAATTCAATTTTTCAAATTTATGACACAGAAAAGTGTTGGTGAACTGGAAACCTTTGCTATAACGATTGGAGTATTTGTCCTTTTGAATAGAAAACCAATCTGTTCTTAACCGGAAATTTGGTTTATTTTCAACAAGACTGCGCCAATTTTTGTCACGTACTTCCAGCTCAACAATAGTTGAATAATAATTATCCAAATAAATTGATTGGGGGAGGAGGCCTTATTGAGTAGCCACCAAGATCTCCTGATTAAACGCCACTTGATTTTTTCATGTGGGGGTACCTAAAGTCTGTTGTTTTGAAAACTCAACCTGCATCAGTTACGAGAAAGATTTATTCCGGTAAAGACATCTAAATAAAATTACTCTACACATTGAAGGAAATTGTGATTCTGCAACTTGACATCCTCTGCCTTTGTTATCATTATTTTCAATTACAAATTAATCAATTTTCAATTATTTTAATTACGCAAAAATAGAATATAGAGCAAATAGAACTCGAGTAGTGACTAGTTCTCTATAAAGTTCTGTTCTAATCTCGCTTACACGCTACCTGATACGGTAATTTGTTAATCGGGAGCTTTGAAGTTCATCATTGAGTTTAAGTTATTTCAGGCACATCAAAAGTACATAGTACTCGACTGATCAAATCAGCGTATTCGAGGCTTTTACCATTCCAGATGAACTTCGTACAATTTTCACTATATAATTTTGGACGACTTATTTATGCAGGATGCATATTTTAGAATTAAAGTTGCCATTTGTCGTGCTTATCCATCCGCGTAAAATCTCATAATTTTAACGTACGCGGAAATTACCATAAAAAGGATGTAAAATGGTTTTATGTGAATATCAACCAATAAAATCAGAGAGTTTATCCTACTGCGAAAAGTTAGTGGTTTGTACGTTGATTTTTCTTAACCCATTCCTCTCTCTATTGTACAATTAATTACTTAACTGTGTATGGCTAAAATAAATCAAACTATTGGGGGACAGTTGCTGTGGTTGCTTCTGGAAATCAGGCTGGTTTAGGGGACAATCTGTCTTAATCTTAATCAGTTTACTGTGTGGTTCAATGTAGAAAAGAGTCGATCATTTTTCTGGAATATTCCAACTGTTTAGATCTCAAGTCTTAGTCATATTACAGTATAATATGCTTTGGTAAAACCATATCCTGTGTTCAACATATGTAGCACGAGCACATGCACAAGCAGGTGATACGAGCAGCTGGGCTCATTTGCCAGAGGGTCTTTTTGATACATTACACATTCTTTGTTTATGTTGAAGGGGAAATATTCCCTGCGGACAATTCTAGAAGGTCCAGCTAATTCAAGTTTTAAAAATAGCTCAAAACTTCCTGCATTTAATAAAGCCTTTATTCAATAAGTTTTAAGCGACTTTCTCCTCGCTAGAAAAAAAATCAAGCAAACGTAGATTATTCTGGCAGTTATCCGACACTAATCAGCCAGCACTCATTCGCACACACACTTTTAAGGTCGATTTACTGGCAAATAATAAAACCGCAAATTTAATAACCTTTCGCAGAGTTTTTCATGGCTTATCTCATTAACTCAATCATGCTTTATTGGGCTTCATTTTGATGGAAAGAACTTTGACTTTAATGGATACAAAAAAGTTTAGTGAATTAAAAAACACACTGGGGCATTTCCTGTATATAAAAGTGACAATTTTCAATTAATTTTTAATTTAATCCATTTTCGGCTCATTTCATCCAGTGCCACTGGCATAATTATGAAGCTGCTACTCATGCTCCTGCCATGATGGTAAATTTGAACAAAAATGTGAATGGAAACACGCTTTTTAGGTTGATCAATCGATGGTTTTTTTTTATATCATGTCAGAAATGGATTTTTTCGCTTCCACAGTCCAGAAGCTTTTCAAAATTTTTGTGATTTTACTATTTTGCAATTAAAAACTAAATTGGGAATTGAAATAAAATGCGTTAATAGAAATGCTCTTTTTGTTAGTTTAAAATCTGTACCCAATGTATTGGGTATACAGCAAATGTAAGAGAGAACTCGCGATTTTTGAAAAGATCTTCAAAAGCTTCATTTTTTTAGAGTTGTCTAGTTTTATCATAATTTTGCCCACACATGGACATCTTCAATTGCTAATTTCTTATTTAATATTTAGTTGAAGTCTCAATTAAATTGAGATATATCCGTAAAAGGAAACCGGAAATGTTATTTAATTTTGTTACAATTCGTTCAATATGTCATTCGTTTATTTTCTTTTAGTCAGAATAGGAACTTTTTGGTTTGTCCGAAATATTATTAAGATCACGATGTTTTAATGAAATTCTACTATTTAATTCAATTTTTTTATTTAATCTGAGATGTTTTCATCTTTTTAAATTATTAAATTTAGGCGTTATTTCACGTACAAATTTAGGTAACAAATCTAGTTCTACTACTAATAAGTTTATTAATACATTTAAGTCAGATAAATGGTTAACATTAAGCATATAGCTTTAGTTTGTTATAAAGCATGTTTTTGGAAAGCATTAGAGTTATTACAACCCAATATTCATTGCAAAATCCTACATAATCTGCTTATAAAAACGGTCGAGAAGCGTGTAAACAAAAGCCACCTCAAACCAAACCGAGATAAATCACACAGAAATTCGAAACAACAAAATATAACGTTTCATTTTATAAACGGGGTGAGAAAGTGCTTTATTTGTTTGAGAAAATTTGCTCATACAATCGCGTTAAAATGAAATACTAAAATATGTTTTTTTGAACATTTCAGACTGAATCGGAATTACTTAAGTCTCCTTTCGCAAAATTTTAAGCGTATAATTTCGCCCAAAACGAAGGCTAGTGGCCAGGAAATAAAAGTAGTCTTTCGAGTGAAAAGCGTATCGCAAACGACTGAAGTTTAAAAATTATATATAAAGAATCCAATGTGCCACCTGATAAAAATGCATATATTTTGCAAAACTTTTATGAGCAACTTACTTTAACAAATCTATTAAAATATTAAAAACTTGCTACGTCTACTTTCAATTTGGCTTGGAATTTTGACAGTTAAGTGGTTCTCCTTTGTTTTGCTGTGAATGTCGTTTTTGCTAATTGTTGACTACGCACAAGGCAAAGTAAGAAACGAATATTTTTAGGGATAAAATTTTAAAGTAATGGAGGACGGTATTGAATAGTATCATCAAACATTTGACGAATTAACGGTTAAGAAAACTTTGATGAAAAAATAATTAGCGCAAGGCAATGATATTGACTATTATCGAAATTGTGTCGAAAGCATTCTGGCTATTTTCAAAACCTCTTGTAGACGTAAATAATTCCCGTTTAACTTGAATTACATTTTTTTAAAGCACAACATAGATGGAAAGAAAAAAAACCACTAAGTGAGAGATAGGAATAAAATATGTAGTGTTGATTCTTTATAAAATGTAAACATTCAAATATTGAACGACAAAACACAAAACAATGAGCAGCATGGAAAAAGAAACTCAACAACATTGATGAAAAAACATATCTTGACTATTTGGCTACTTTCAATGAATACCACAGAGTAAGCAAGCACTTACTTATAAACAATATAAACGACATCACCTAGTTTTTAAACATAAAGTTTGTACTCACCAATAAAACGGGCTTCAGAAGCTGATCGTCCACCCATCCCATCACAATATCTGCACCTTCCATTCCTCCAGTTTCACTAAACCCTATTCCTACATATCCCAACGTCTTTGCTTCCACTCTGAAAAGAATCTCTTGGTGTCTGGGTTGCCATCTGAGAGTCACTAAATTGTCATTGTCCAGAGTCATTGAATGTGTCCAAACAATATCCGACTCTCTTTTTGGTCGATGCACCACATCCGCATTTTCACTACTCACATCGGCTGTTTGCTCGAACAAACTCGAAACTGGATCAACAAGATTCGTTAAGCCTTTTTCCAAGTTGTAATTTTTCTGGGCTTCTCTTCTAGGCCTCTTTGGGCGCATCGGAGTTCCACTTTGAGGTAAATATGCATAAGCTTCTGAACGAGATAATAAAGCTGATTCTATATTTATTTCGTCAATACTATTAACCAGTTGAATGTGTTTTACGTATTGATCCAGCAAATCTTCAGCTCTAATTAGAGTGGTTGCTGATAAAGCATGCAGCAAGAGGTAGATTGGATAGTGGTTGTAATAGTAACGCATTGTGATAGTGTGAAAGTTCCTACATATAGACTGCCTGCAAAAATAAATCATATCTTTAGATGTCTTCAAACCTTAATTATAATCAATTAAAACTATTGCATAAATCAAACAAAAGGCTATTTAAGAAAACGAAACCGAAGCGCGGCTATTATAAATCACCCATAATTAGAACTTCCTTCTTTTAATAGGACGTAAACAAGTTTGAAAAGAAGACATGTGAATGAGATGGAAGCAGTCGCAATTATGTGTATTTAAATGAGCGTCTGGATTTTTCATTATAGCACGGAAACGGATTATGAATATTCAAGTTGATTGTCGTTGGGTATAAACATGTTTAACCTAACAGAACTAACAGCACATCTTCAATCAACGATACTTTTTCCGTTTAAGTGAGTGGCTTTTATTGAGGAAGTATGTTGTGAATATAAAATGAGAGCAATATTCAATGATTTAAAGAGGATCTGATGATGTCTACTAATTATTTCTAGAGTGAAACTGCATTTAATCAGTTCAGAGAATTAGATTGGCGCATTTTATATGCCAAATCAACTGGTTTGAATTTAAATTAAGGTTATATTTAATTAACCGAAAAAAAAAACAAAACCTCCGAAGTCGATGTAGTTAATTTCGAAACAATTTTTAAAATGGTCTTTCTTGGGTTCGAGCAATCTCGTCTTTGTAATTGGGCAGCCAGATAATATGGTCTAGCTCATCGTACGAAAATTTCGATAGCTTAGCGAAATTGGGATTTCTGAGTGAAAGTTTAAGTGAAGCATTGAGGATATAGAATATATTCCACCTTATAATAGAATTTCGACTAAACTATGCTTTAAAATAAAAATCAAGATTTGGAAAATGATGTATTGATGCATTTGGAAGCAAAAAAAACAAAATTAAAAATCTATGTGGTATTGAAGTATTAATTCGATGTAGAATATTAGAAAAATTATTATTAAGAAAAAAGCAATTGATGTAGGATTTTCAGACAAGATAAATCCTTTCAAACGGAAACGGCTGGGCAAAAGTAGAAAAAATACTCTAGTCCGAGTCGACTGGAAAATAACTAAAATTGCTTCTAATCCAAATGAAAGCTTGATCTAATTATTTGAATTACTTTTTTAATTAAGGAAAAGAGCGATTGACATTCTTTTAACTATCCATTAAATAAATGAATTCTTATTGGTTTAATCTCGAAATTCTAGAAAATCTTTTATTAATCGCCCTGCAGCAATTGTGATGTTTAATGTGCTGTTATCAGATTGGAAAGCATCAAATTTTCATTAAAATATATTACTCCGAACTATTGGTAATAAAAGAAGACCGAAAGAAGTCTAATATTAAATTCCAGCTGCGTTTTAAATAGGAAGGAACATAATTTTCTGCCACGTAAAAACACTTGATCTGAAAATGTAGATATATTTCATCAAATAAAATCATTTGGAAGTTCACGCTTTTAAATAAATTTCCTAAAACGAATTCCCATTAATTAGCTAGTAATCGTTGGCCTTGACTGTAGACTACTTTCCGCCTGTTAGTGTTGTTGGCTTTTGTTTTTTTACGAGTTTAAATTTTATTTAAGACGCTGAACCCACCGACACAAAGTGGTCAGACTTCCAGCTAAAACCCAAAAGGATTTTGCCGATGGGTATCCGCAGGAATCTTAATGATAATTGATCTAATAGTTAACGTAACATACTGCAGATGCTGACTAGATTTAATATCATATGCATCTTCAATTCATATATATATTATCATCAGTTATCATATTCCAACAAAGAAGATTTTACATATTTTTGAAAAAATTTGAAGAATTGTCTAAGAAATTGTTGGATCTATTGTCGCAAGGTTGAAATACATTGCTCAAGTGCCAATGAATAATCTATACAATTTTAAATTGTCTGTGAAAATTGTGGTTTTGTAGGATTTAAAATGTAAATAAAAAATGGGCGTTGGAGGAACAACACATCTTTTTTCATGCATGAAAAGGTTTGCGACTGAAATATGCCCGGAGTCCATTGCACTTGAAATCTATTGTTTTAGATCCAAGACAGGTTCTGCATTATATTATGCGGATTGGGTAGATAGTGTGACTCATTATCGTCGTTGGTGAGAATGCTTAAAGAGGTAATAAGTAACGAAAAATACAGCTACAACGGTTACGGGCAAGACTATTGGTGAATTTTAAATTCACGAACATTTAATTTTGAAGATTTTTTTAGCAAATAGTTTTCTTCACTTCAGCTTTTGAGTGACACGATGTAAGCCACTCGTGCTTGCAAAATGACTTAACATCATAATTCTCCTTTATTTACCAACCAGCTTCTGCCCACTTTGCTGGGTTATGCCAATTAGAAATTATTATTTAGCGAGCTTTCCCCATGTTAGCTAGAAGATCACGGAGAAACTGACGCTAATCTCTAGAGAGCTATCAATGAAAATAACGATTTATCTCTTTGCAACGGTATTTATATGCTGCTGTTTTATAGCTGTAGAGCTCCAGAGTTTGTTGTCCAACTGTTCTCGATCGGCTTACACAAGTCTACATGTTTTATTTATTGCGCTTTGTCGCAATTTTACGATCAACAGCTATATACAGTGAAGCTATGTGGTAAATAAAATGCTTAATTAACGGAACAAAAGACACAACAGAAGGCGCTCGTTGACGGGACTACTGCTCTCTTCCCCAATTTTTGTACATAACTTTTTTACTCGGATTTAGGCAGTTTCAGATCAACAAGAAGACTTGAAGTAGTCAGTTACAGTACAAAAAACTTGTTTGATTGAATTGGTTTTATATCGGTTGTATTTCTCAAAAAAATCAATAAACCGGCCACGTTTCGTAATTGAAAAATTAACTTTAAAACGAAATTTAAATAAAAATGAAAGTGAAACCAATTAAATATGAATAGTGATACAAAAATTTTTTTTTTTTGGTCCCTTTTGGTTAACTGTTTTCTGGATTCACGAAAGGAAGTTGGGAAAATAATTTTAAATTATCAGTTTCTCACAAAAAGGCGTAGTTCAACTGTCACAATTTTCACTCATACATAAAAATAAGTAATTTTGATGTATGAATCAAAGTATGAAAATTAAAATTTTTTCCGATTCCTGAATTTGAAAGTGTTACTTTCCTGAAGTGACACTTTCAAACATTATCAGTAAATAAAAAAATAAACCGTCGACATACATTTGCGTTTAATCTCATCGTATACGCAGAGAATCAATTTTGAAAGGTTTGTACATGCAAGAGCAAATCGAAACGTATACAAAATACCTCTTTGTTTAATCCGGGATTATTTGAAGGCGAAAATAGAGCAGCAAATCGTGTTTCAATTCATTCGAAAATGGAACAATGCGAAAGACAAATTGCAATTTTCGTAGCAAATCTCCGTTGCAAAATTCTTCATTTGACTCGATGAATTTTACCCAGTTGTATTATGAATATTTGTCTCTTCCACTCAAAAATCAATCAATTTTTGAGCGTTTTAAACCAAAAAAACTGGTAATAAATATATATCATTAAATCGAACCTTTTTACTATTTAAAAAAATATTGCCCATCCAACTTTACGCAACAGATTAACCATTTGGCTTCAAAATATTCAATTTTATGCTGCAATATCTCCCATATAACTCTTTGGCGTTCAATGTGCATCCAATTTTGCAAATTTATCTTTCGCTTACACGTTAGCTAATGGATGTCAAATAATTTCTCGCAAAATGGACGAGTTTCATTAAAAGGACTTTGTTTATATGTAGAGCCGGCATAATCTGCAACAACCATTTTTGCAATACGGCAAACCTCCGAATAATTATAAAATTGCGCCAAAAAGTGTGCAGTAACTTTTCTGGAAACTCATAAAAGTTTCTAAGTATTTTTGCGTCGCCTTTGGCGGAACAAACAGTAGGTCAATTTAACTTTAATCTTAGAAGTTAAATACATAAGTCGGGAAGTTTGTTATATTTTAAAAATTAAGCTGTGTTGAGATCAGACTCCAATTATCTTTATCTGTTGTGGATTATGGAAAAAAATATAAAAAAATTTATATTAAGTTTTTTTACTGTAGGTTTAGGTTGTTTTTGAGTATTTTCAATGTGTGGTTTTTGGTAGTTCTTTAACAAATTGTTTAAAAAAATGTTAAAGCCAATATTTGATAGAAATTCGGTTCTCACTTAAAACAATTAAATATATGGTCTCAAATTTACTTGCTAGCATGAGGAAGCTCACAAGTTGCTTATAGAAGCGTGTGGATTAATCGGTAATTTTCATAATTCGGTCATCATTCGCTAAAGACAATTTAAGCTAAGTTCAAATTTGAAAAGCTTGATTAGTAACATAACGATCACTCTGCTTATTATGAACAATTCATCTTTTAAAGCTTGTATCCAATGAATAATTTTCGGTTCCGACTCAACAATCTTTTCTGATGTGATTATAAGGAGCCGAGAGCTATTAGTTTCGTGTATACAGGCGCTTAGTGTAAGAAAACTTGCGTATAACTTATAACTGGCCCATTCTTCCTCGTGTATGTAATAGCCTACAAACAACTTTCCTGCAGTGTCGGCTCAAACTATTTTATGCTTCGTGGTCTGTCAGCTTTCATAACTAAATCGAACAATAAAATGTGTTGTTTACAGAAATTGAATCAACTGGTTCTTTGATTTCATTTTCATGATGATTTCTTTGATTTCGTAAGTTTTGACAAAGATAAACATTTTGATGTTGATGAAAATAATTCGAAAAATTTTAGGCCACCATAAAAACTATTTCTTCCTGGCGGTTCGCTAGCACGAGTGGCTTGCATCTTCAAGGGTAGTTGCTGCAAATATTTTCTTAGAACTTTATGTACCTACCAATTTGCTTTTCGCATTTGCAATCTCTGGTATGAAAAGACGAAAGTGGTGGATTGCACCGAATGAAGTTCTGACTAAAAAATGATCGGAACACTTGTGATTTGTTCCTGCAAGTGGATTTATTGCACGCAGACTCTCAAAAAACTTTAAAACGGTTTCAATCTAAAGTCAACCTCCAGGACGCTTCTTATATATTTTGAAACTTTCTGTATAATTTTTAAATCACTCCAATTTATATTTTCATCTAAGCATGTTTGAAACTGGTCAGGATTTCGGACTTTTGGATTTTCGTGCAAAATAATTTATTTTTAACATTTCGCAAGCACGATGCAACGAACTAGTTGAAAAACACGCGAAAAGTTTCAGCTCCGAAATAATCGAAATTTTCGGTAGATTGTAGGCGTTTTTTGGGCATTGACGATCTTTAAGCGACGAGTTCTTGCTTATTATTGATCCAAAAACTTTATAAATGCATTTTTGTGAGCTCCTTAAGTCAAAAGGAAATCTACATCATGATGGTCTCAAACAAGCGAGGAATGCAACAAACTAAACTAGTTGAAAAATACACCAGAAGTTTCAATTCCGAAATAATCGATATTTTCGGTACATTTTAGGTGTTTTTTGGGCGTTCACGATGTTCAACCGACTACTTATTCCCTATTATTGACCCAAACACTTAAAAAATGCACTTTTGCGAGTTTATTATGTCGAAAGGGGTCTATTGAGATAAAAAAAAAACACGCATGTAAAATTTCGATTTTTTGCCGAAAATTTTTGCATCTTTAGAGGCGGTTTCCTCGGGGCAGCAAAGAAGACATTATTTTAAACAACTGCCTTAGAGCCCGGAAGTTTATTGATCAAATCACTCATTCGAAGCCGCTACTGGCTGTCAGTAAGAAAAGAAAAATTCAAATTAAATTTTGTCTCCATCCTTGTTAGACGTATTTTGCTTCAAAGGTTCAAACAAAACACCTCTGATGATGTAAGCCTCTCATACTTGCGAAACGTTATAAAGAATTTTTTTCGCACCAAGTGAAAAATTTTGATTTTGAAAGACAATTTATGCAAAACTGGCAAAGTCTAATGCAAAATGGCTCGTGATGCGTTCACGAACCATTTTTGCTGTTTTTCTATGGTTATTTTTGTGGATGGATGAAATCCTTAACCAAATGGCATCAATTGAACTTTAAACATGATGAAAGCCGAATAAACAATACAATAAATAATGAGAGTTTTGTGTAAGGAAAACGTTTGGGAAAAAACTCAAAAGAACTAAACCCTGTATACAGCTGCAAAGAAAATGAAGAAAAATTTGAAATAAAAAGTACAAATTACGATTTACTAAACAAGGAAACAAAATTCAGCTAATGAGCGCTAAATGTCGCGTCCCACTAAAGACACCAGCTGTTTGTACAACGAATGAATCATAGCAAATAATCAAGGCTTGTTGCAAACCCTTTTAAACAAAAACTGAGCACTAAGGAAAATTGTTGTTTTATGAGGCTCTTGATTAAATTTCCAAAAAAGCAGTCCTAATTCTTATAAACATACTAAATTTTATTTTTATCCCAAATGCACGAAACGTTAAAAGGCCAATTTCGAAGATCTACATGAGAGAAACGAGGCAAAAAATATTTTCAGCTAAAACTATGCCTATTTGGTAATAAAATCTGGTGGTTACAAACGAGCGGTAGTAACATACACATTTTTTAATTTTCCTTGGAATTTTACCATCTCATTAATTCTTTGAGGAAGATTAAAAATGTGGCTTTTAACAAATGTTTAGCCATGTATAATGCTAATATTACCTAGATCAAGTTGTGTTAAAAATTGAGCACATTTTTGTTCTCCCCTAAGAAGGTATCGTCTTTTTCTCGGGGGGATTCCTAATGTTGTGGACGTGCGAAATATTTTAAGTAGAATTTTGCCTCTTTTCCATGGAAGATGACGAGTGATATTTAATTCACTCTTTGTACGTGATCGTAACGTAGTAAATGGTTCGACACAGCAATAAATTGCGTTTTCTTAGTAAATTTGCTTGATCAATACATAATGTCGATGGAATTAGAATGAAGAAAATTAGTTGCTTAACTAACTTTTCGTTGGCAATTTTCAAGAAATTTAGAGATCATCAGGAAAAATGTTAACTGCCTTTGAACATTTTTTTGTGCACTAAATTGCTCAACCACTGGACTCATCAATCAAATCAACCATATACTTATTTTGCAAACAATTAGAGCTTGGGGCATTACGCTCGTGGTTAGTTACCTTCGAACGTACTTACTTACTTAACTTACCTATAGAATCCAGGACTCAATCCTAAATAATCCAAAGAAACAGACACACAGAACTACCGATAAAAAACTGAACTCATTCCCGATTTAGATCGATTCCGGTCGTCTCTACAGTTCTTTATCCTTCTCGCCCGGTTGCCGGTACGAATTTAATGCCTGATGCGATGGTCTGGTACCCAAGCCGGGGGCAACCCTCTTCCTTTCCTACCATGCACATCATCAATTGCGGCACACCGGCTACCTACAGATGCCTTTCAATGGACGGGCCATCGTTGGTTGCACCATTCATTCCAATAATTATGGCTTTAAATCATTATACAGATACAAAATACTCAGTAGTGACTAATGTTTTATGTAAAGCTTTTTCAGGTAACCATCCAATTGATTCCACTCCAGTTTTGACTTCTTCATCTACACCTTTTTTGTTGCCATTAGCTTTTATAGTACTACCCATTTCAACTACTTTAGCAGCTTCTGGTTCTTTACGTTCAATGTTGTTAACAATAGTATGAAAAGCAACAGAAACTGAGGAGAATCTTTAGGATTCCGTGAATTAAATGACCTCCTGTTGCTTCCTAAGCCAATCTGCAGACCTTCGTTTCTACAGAATTCAATTGAATCAGCCACACATGCTTCAAAAGCAGTTCTCTCCATCATACTCCATACAGGCTTGCAGATTTCATATTTATACCTTTAGAAGCAGACAACAATTCTACAATTCACTTCAATCTGAGAATAGTAAATACAAAAAGTTCACCAAAAAGTGTTGGGCTTATAGGACAAGTACGAAGTGCAAAAGTAAAAAAACAAAAAACATAACACCGAAAGAACTGTACGGTTTTATTTAATTTTGCCATCTTCTTAGTGAAAACGCATTATCGTGAAGTGGTTCGTCGAATAACAATGTGTGAAAAAGCCTTTAATACAAATTGAATGGCTTGCTAAAAAGTAAATTGTTTGCAAAAGTGGTTTATCCAGAATTTCTTCCAGTCAAGAGCAATAGCAGATAACATAAAAGTCCCTCTTGTGGATATGGTGGAAAATGTGTTGCATTTACCATTGACGGCAGAGTGATAAGCTTTATTTATTCCTGCAGTCGAGCAAACGTTGAAAATAACAGAAGCTTACGACTCATGAAAAGCACTACAAGAGAAGTCAATTGTGAAAACAATTCTTAAAGTTTACTACTTTTTAAATGGACTGTGCTGAGTCTCGCAGTGTTGAAACTGCTAGAATTCTCACGAGGAACAGAGACTGAGAGAAATTGTGGCAGATTTATTAATTGTTTGCTTTTTTATCAAGAATACTATGTCGTAAAGTTGTTTCATATGTAAATTATCTAGAGCCATTGCCAGTTAGGATTTTCAAAGCTTGGAAAAATAGAGAGATCATTATTCATCGGGAACTTCGCGGGCTTATTATGGGCAACGCGTTGAAGAGTTACAATCAATCAAATGTGAATAAGAAAAATCTAAATACGCAGGCATGAGATAAATCAACCTGAGAGTGTGGTGTGGAAAATTGTTAGGTAACTTGTCAGTAAAAAACAGAGAAACTCGAGATATTCAAGTAGGCAATTTACAGAAACTAACTTTGTCAAAATTCGAAACAGAAATGGTAACTTATTTTGGCCTTTAGGTCAAAAGATTTAAGTAAAACATTTCAAGTCAAACTGAGTGAAAATAAAAATAGATATCCCTCAAGAAGCGGACGGATACAGACAGGAAAAAGTAAGAGCGAATAAGTGACAAAAACCCTGATCAAAACAAGTAGCAGAAAAAACATGTTGGGGAGTTCAGATGGTATGGCGAAAAACTTCCAAAAAAAGTTCCAGAGTTGGAACATAATTTTCGTTTTCAATTTCTTTATTGTTGAAATTTTTCCTAAGGTATGAAAATAGGTTACATTTGTACCCGATGCAAATCTTTCAGTTTTACTTAGCAGCATTTTTTAAACTTATTTATTTTCGTGGCATTAGAGAAGTTTTAAGCATTCATTTCAAATAAATGCGACTTTTCACGTTTGCTAATGAAACACTCTTCATAAACAAATTTCGCTATTTTGCTATATATCTCTTTGCTGTGGCCTTTCAGCACACGTTTCATATTAGAGCTGATGTTATAGAATAAAGTGTCCAAAGACCCTTTTCCAATCCGGGCCCCATAATTCACACTGACGACTTAATGGCTTTTTGCAAGAGTCGCAATACGCGCCCCAAAAAGGGTTCATTTCAAGTAATAGATTTTGATCACATTTGATCACACCTAAAAGACCAGGTGTCTACATCAAGTTCCTATTGATGATAATTTAAAAAAATCGCATTCTTTAAGTGTGTTGAAATAATGTGGAAAACCTACAAGAAAACAATAGAATTTAGGCCAAAGTAAACAGTTTTTAAGTGAAATAAATATGCTGTTGATTTCCGAACTACAAACTACTTGCATTTGAATTCTTTACTCATTTTTGCGTTTTTATGACAAGATTTGTTGATTGTCTTAATTGCAAATTGCACGTGAAACTTTAACTATAGTTAGCTAAAATTTAACAGGTTGTAATGAGTCCTAAATAGAGCTGAATTGGTGATTGTTCTGTTTCAACCTTGCAGATTATTTGAATTGACTTTTCAAGGAAATATTTAAAAAAAATTCGAATAGTGTTAAAAAATACTCGATATACTCGCAAAGAAGAAGTTAACTTAATATATTCTCGGTCTCAATTCGCTGCTTTTGTCGAGCGGCTTCAGATTGGGTGCAACCGACGTTATTCAAAGGTACCTACAAGTTTTATATCCGTTTAATTCATAACTACCGGGCTCGGGAAATCAAGTCGTGTGAACTGCATTTATTTAAAGTTTATTACCCAATCGATCCAAACGTGCCATTTTTTTATTATTTCACATATCCCATGCCCTTTGGATATTTCTACCTACAACATTTAGTTTAGGGCCCCAAGTTTAAAAAGTTATTCTTTTTCATGATTGGCAATAAAATGTTTAGGAATTACAGAACTTCTAAGAAATGTCCAGGATCGGGTCATTAATAGAGGACATTTAGTAGAAGTTTTGTACAAAATTATGTTTTATCGAGTTTTACATTATTATAAAAAATCAGACTACTGGTGGGTCATGCAGGAATTAACATTAAAGTTATAGATGAGCTTTTGAAATTTTTCCAAGCTGAGTCATTTTTAAAAATTCCTAACGTCCAAACTGGAACAACTAGACACTTAAAATTTTTTCCAGCTTTAACCAAGGTGGCTCGCTGCAAGTGCCCCAAAGTTCGATAGAAGCGAACTGAATAATGATTTTTCTGGAATTACCAGACTTACAGTCGCGCTTGACCAGAATTTTCCAGTTGAGTCATTTTCAAAAATTCCTTATGTCTACTCTAGAGCAACTAGACGTGAAACTTTGTCCAGTTCCAAACAAGGTTAGCGGCTAGACATGGGACAAATTTCAATCTAAACGAGCAACTTATTTGTTCGGAACAGGCAGACTGACTTTCCAGCAAAAGTTAAACTTTCAGTTGAGCCTTACACATAAGCCCAACTTGTAGCAGGCAGCAGATTTATCGTTAGACGCGTTTATCAAACACACTTCACACTACCAGATTGGGAGATTTTGATACCAGCAAAAAGTAGATTGATTTTTTGAAATTACCTAACCTGATAAACTAGCAAACTTTATAAACCGCCACACTTTCAAACATTTTTGTGAAAAAAAGATTCGCCAGAAACTTGATTTTTCGACATCCAATAACTGATGCTTTGTTGTTCAAACTGAGTCAATTTCAAGTAAATCACAGTGCATTTTTTTAGAAAATCCCTAACTACAAATCGCCACCATATGGAAACCCCATGGATTGGTGTCTTTCCTGATAGCTCTTTGTCGATTATTAAATTTTAAAAAAGTATAGTTAATATAAAATATAAATATAAAAGATTATTAAAACGAGTAAATGTATCAAATAAATTTCTTTTTGTTAAGTAGTCTGTCAAAATAAATATTAGTCTTGCATAAGTAAAAAATTAACAAAAATATTTAATAGTTTCTACCCAAATGTCTGACTATTCATGACCGGAACCTCTGCCTGAACACTCCATAGAGGATTGATCGATTCTATAGTTCTGACTCAATCTGCACTCAGAATTTTGTACACGCGTAACTTTGGCCAATTTCAGTTTTTCGGATATAGGAAAATATGCATGTTAATACTCAGTACCTACTCATACACAAAAAAGACGCTTCGTATAAAGTCTAGATAACAACACCTAAAATATAATGGATTAGATTGTAGAACTGGTTGGTCAAACCACTAACCAAAACGTATTCTTCTCGTATCCTCCAATTAAGTTAAAGCATTCAGCAACTCATTCAGTGCAGTTCGATATACATTCTAATTATGTACTGTGGAACAATAACTAGTTTGTGTTTTGTAACGAAAAAAGGTATATTTCTAAAAAAGAAATATAACATGCATGACTTGCAGGGCTGCAAAAACGACGCATTTGACTCCAAAAGAGACATATAAAAAATAAATGAAATAGACCAAAAGTAACAAAGCGATATGTTTATAGCAGTTAATTTTATAAATTGTTTGCCTAATTTGGTGTGCTTGTGGTTTAGCGATGACTAACAGAAATGGATGTCGCCAACGTAAATTTGTTAATTGTGTCATATAAAATTGTTAAAATCATTAATTAGTTAACGTGGCTTTGGTGTAAGGTATAATTGAATGATAATAAAGTGCAGATAAAACTTTGAAATAATGTTTTATAAATGGACTTAACATGAGATAAAAACGCGTTAATCAGTCCAGCTTCAAGTATGAAAATGTTAATAAATCTATCGCTACAGAATAATTTAATTATAATTTAGCACAAAAAACGGTGAAGAAACTAGGCATTTTTGAAGTAATAGATGAATTTGGAAATTAAAGCAAAACACAATTGTGAAACTCCAAGACATTGAGACAAGGAAATAGCAAGTACTTTAATGATCTAGCCAAATTAAAGTGAAACAAATCAAAATTAATTAGGAGTAATTTATTAATTAAAAAAACGCACATTTGCTATAAAGTGAAACACGTCCATTTAGACGGATTTATTGCAATTTACGCGTGAAAATTTTATAAATATGAAGAAAAATTGTGCTTTTTTGGATTCGGTTGTCCAATTTCGTTTTGCAGTGTGAAACAGTTGTTTTTAAAAC